TTTGTATTTCTTGGGTCTTGATGCTTGAGTGCCTCTCTAGACTTGGGAAATTTTCTTCCAGGATTTCATGGAATAGATTTTCCATGCCGTTATTAGTTTCTTCACCTTCTGGGTTGCCAATTATTCTGATATTTGGGTGTCTCATGGAATCTAGTATTTCTTGTATATTCTCCTCGTGTTTTTTTGTTACTTTCTCTATCTTTTTGGTGGTTCTTTCTAGGTCAGAGGTTTTATCTTCTACATCAGCGATTTGATCTTCAGCATGGTCTAATCGACTTTTAATACTTTCAAGGGAGTTTTTGATTTCCTCTATTCCAGACTTTATCTCTAATAGCTCCATCTGGTTCTTTCTCAGAGTGTCCATTTCTTCTTTCATATCTTAGAATGACTTCCTCATCTCTTGGCGTTCATTGTCTCTTTTCTGTTCCAACTCAAAGAATTTGTTCACCATAAATGTTTGAAATTCTTTGTCTGACATTTTAGTAACATCATCCATTAGCAAGAAAGATGGAGGGGAGTTACTCTGTACTTTTGAATAACATGTCTATTTTAACAAAATATGTCTATTTAAAATTTTGGTTCAAAGAGAAAGTACAAAGCAAATCGGAAAACTGTAAGATACAGTTAATGCCCTGCTCAAAGAAAAGCTCATGTCCATGGGTTCTTTAACCAATAAAAATGAAGGTGTGGGAATACACACTATGCATTTGACTCTAAAATTTATAAAAATTAAGTTATTGAATATGAAAACAAATTTTAATGACAGAATTTTTTTCCCAAATAGTAGGACAACTATATATTATAATTGTAATTCATAAAGTGATTCATTAAATAGTCGTAAGTAACAAGTTATTCTAACAATGAATGAATATAGAGAGTGAGAAATAAATAAGTAACAAGTTATTCTAATCACAAACAACAATGAATGAATATAGAGAGTGAGAAATAATAAATGTAATGACTCATAAAGAAATGAAAAATTAATTCTTTAAGAAAGCTCTTTTCAAATAGTTCAATTTCTTATTCACTTGAAGGAATTTGCAGTACATTCTCCACCTTCTCACTAGATAAGTGGAATATTCACAATGTAAAAAGAAATTTCCCTATCACACATTTTCATCATTTTCTGCTCCATCTATTGTGAAAGTGACAGAAATTCCAGGTAAAACATGGGCTCCATTTCGAGAACTGAGAAGTGGAGTCAGGGACCCTGGAATCTCAGGGGATCCTCATCTGTAAAGGGCCTTTTGGCTTCTAATGTTCCTATCATAGGTCACAGGTCACAGGGCCTTCATTGGGTGAGGACTAATCAGACTTATCTGCCCAAGTGCACACTCAGGTGACAGCATAGTCCCTACATCAGCAGTGCCCAGCCCTAGGGTGCCCCCACACACTTGGCCATCAGCCCAGAGCAGCAGGTCCTGCACCAGGTCTGGGCCTTCTCCCTCCCTACAGCTCTCCTCCCCAAACTCACCTTCGTCACTAGAACAGACACCTGTTCCTGGACCTCAGCCCCAACTTCCTTCCTTCCCTTCCTCAGATAGAGTTGGTCACAGGGAATCCCAGCAGGATTAGGGCTAGTGTGGCATTGATGCCTTTATGTGCAATTTCTGATGCTTTGCTGAGATTTCCACCTCCTCATCCATTCAAGCAGATTTTCTCCAGAGGCCTTGAGTGAGTCTATCAGACCATCTCCACACATCACAGGTTTGGAACCAGGAGCTAAAGCTATGTATTCACTTACTGATTGTTTCTGTAACTTCTCTTGCACTGCTGTTCAGTGTTTAGGGAACAAGTCTCCATTTTTTCTCAGATTCATCCTGACTGCCAAGTGCATTTTCTTATGAATGCTGCTGTGTTCTCTGTTGTACTTGCTGGTTCATTGCGAGTTTCTAGAGCACAATTAATTTCTGCACTCTGTGTTGCCCATGGGACAAACTGAAAATCTCACAGCAAAAGCATTTGTGAACCCCTCCTAGACCCTGAACTGTATAGGGCTGGAGTCACCTTTTTCAGCTTTCTGCAATGTTTCCATAGAGAGAGTTTATGTCTGAGTGGGGGTTTCTGTCTGCAATGACACAGATGGAATAAAAAGATTTGAGCAATGGGTGATTGGAAAGTTGAAGAAAAGGACCTGATACTGCCAGATCCACTCTCCTCCCAAAATGCAGGTGCTCACAGGGAAGTCACCTCTGGGCCTTTTTGGTCAAATCGCAAGCAGCAGTAACTGCACCAGACAGGGAGAACTAGGAAGGGGTTTTTGTCTCACTTCCCCATGGGTCTGGAGCACTGTGTGAGCTTAGAGCTGCCATCATAGTTCTTACAGTAATAGTCAGCCTCGTCTTCAGGCTGCAGTCCAGAGATGTGCAGAATGCCTGCATTGGCTGACACATCTTTCGATCCAGAGAAGCGGCTGGGGACTCCAGAGCCCTGGTGCTTGTCTGAGTCTCTGAGGTAATACAGGAGAAAGCGGGGAGGGCTCCCTGGCTTCTGCTGGTACCAGTGTATCCCATAGGTATCAACACTGAAGCCACTGCTAAGGGTGCAGGTAAGTCTGGCAGTAGCTCCAGGAGATGCAGAGAGGGAAGGTGGCTGAGTCAGCACAGGCTGGGAGAGGGAACCTGCAGGCACAGATACTCATGAGCGATGGGACAGGAATAAGAACAATGTTTCTCAGGGGTCTTTTCCAGAGAGCAGAATCAGGATTTCACTTGTCCTCAAGGCCTGTTCCTACCTGTGCAATGAGAGAGAAGCATGAGGAGGAGAGGAGTCCAGGCCATGGTGGGCACAACCACTGGTCCCCACATAGCTGGGCTGTCCCAGGGCTCCTTTTCTTCCCACCCTTTGCCACAGGAGGGGCTCTGCATGCAAAT